TGTTGCCTACCACTTTTTCCTCCTGCGTGCCCATAGCACTTGTCATATGTCTATCATAACCTTATCACGTTCTCTCCACTTGTATAGATAGTTGTGCATATGATTTAATCTTCCACAGTTAGTAAGGCCTCCTGATGGAAGATCTGTGAATTATTTGTCTTTGCCCTATTTCTTTCTTTTTGTCATCCTTCAACTTCCCCCACCTTCCACTTCGGCTCTCACTGTTATGCCAGGATTTTTATGGTCAATACATATTTGTTGCCTGGAGGCAAAGGACCAGTGTTGTGCAGTGTAACCACAGGAGGCATTATGTAGCTCAGCAGATTGAGCACACAACTTCTAACCAAAAGGTTGGCCAGTTGAGCCCACCCCTGTGTGCCTTGGGTGAAAGGACTGATTGTTTCCTGCTGAAAGGTCACAACCATAAAAGGCCGAAGGAGTCCAGCTTGCTCTACAGTCGGTGGGAGTCCCGTGAGTTGGAATCAACTCATGATACCGTTTAGTGTAGTTACATGGTCATGCACGGCATCCAAGATGCCTACTTTCACCTCTTGTCATGAGCTTTGACACTCATTCTGAGCAGGCTTCCACTGTACAAAACTGTTGAGAGAGGAACTTTCCTAAGTCGCCTAATCGTCCCCTTGTTCTCTCCTCATACTACTCCCCAACATTCACACAAAAAGAAGCAGAGAGACCTCTAACTAGGCAGAACTGCTGAGGTAGAAGGCGCTGGGGAGGCAGAAGGGGACATCAGTGGCGCTGCTTGCTAAAACAATTCGGTACCTTATTTATAGAGTGCATGTGAGCTTTCTTATCTCTACTACTACCTTACTTTCGGAGATTCATGTATAGAAAGGCCGCTTGAGAAAATAAGTAGCAAACAGGAATTAAACTCAACATTTAGCAAAAGGTCTTTAGAAAAAGAGACAATCCCCTTAACATTAGGGATCTGCAGGCTGGAAGGAAGTCTGATAACACAAAAGCTCAAAAGGCCACAGTGAGCCTCCGATGCCACCCTTGAGGAAAGCACGCAGTGACAATCAAACAGGCAAAGAGGAAGACCTGCTCCTGCACACGTGGGAGAGAGACTGGGGAGGACGCTGAGTCCCACGAAGGCACATACCTTTCTGTGTCATCACCCTGAAGTGATTTCTGAGAAGTACTTGGTGCTCCTGCAATTGCAGGGTTTGTTCATTGTTTGCAGTAGAGGTAAAGGAGGGCTCTTGTGACTGGACTTCCGGGGCCAATGGTTGAACCGGTTCCCTCTCGCCTTTGAGGCATTGCGCTCTCATCCGGTTTGTCCCATCTGGGAAACACCGCCCTTTCCTCAACAACGGCCTTCTTTTGTTTCAGGCCCAAGGGTGTTAAGTCAAGGTATAATTAAAATAAAGAATCTTTGAGGCAAAAATAGGCGGCTGTTCGTAAGTCACTTATATAAAGCAGGCCTACCATTAATTCAATTGATGTATGCAGTCGGGAATGGGAATCAACTCCATGACAGCGAGTTAGGTTTGGTAATGAGTTAGTATTCCATTCGCGTCCTCTGATCAGAAAGCAAGGCCTTGCATTTTGCTCCTTCTTCACTTTGGGCTCTTCCTGGTGGTGGGGCAGGGCCGCCTGTCCAGCCACAGCCTCCTGCTCTACACCCATGCTCTGTGGTTCAGCGGGGACTGACGCAGTGCTGTCATTAGTATTGATTACTTGCTCTTTTGACTACACTTCCCCCCTTCATTCCTCCACCTCTATGTAGAAGAGTGTCTTTAATATGCTGAAGGATTGTTCAAACTCTTGACTGGCTCTATAGAAAGAAAGAAATTTTACGTTGTGTCATTTCATATATGTGCAAGTATGTTTGTGAAGTTCGATCTGATCTGTGCGTGGTGCCCTCTAGAATTTCTGTTACATTTTAATGTACTTCATAAAATTCTTTCTGTGATTTATTAAAGAGATCTCATGAGTTGCTAATGGGCCACACAGCTTGAGTCCGATAAGACTGCAGAAGAGTCATCAGCTTTTAGCAAGTCTTAGAATCACACATCTGGGGAAGACTTTGGAAATAATCTAGGCATCCTCTTCTTTACCTCCAATGTTTTAGTTGCGGGACCTTAACGTCCAAGAGGGTTAAGACTTTCTTACAGGGAAGAGTAATGCTTTGCTTGGGACTATTATACCTATTTCTTCCTGGAATCATGTGATGGGCAGGCAACCCAAATAAGCTGCGCAATTTTTGATCATAGCAATTATGCTTCCCAGGGGCTTTCTGGTAATGGATATCTGTACCCACTTTCCCGTCTCTGTTTGTTATAGACCTGTGTTCTCCCTCCATTACTTTCTTATCCTCTGTGGCAGGCCGGAGGAAAGACGGTCCACAGTGTCTACTGTGTCTGCTGCTCCCTCTTTGTGGTGGCACAAAGCACTCATCACCCTGAACCCCAAAGAGAGTAGGCTCAATAGGAAATTGTGTTTTACGTGTGAGGTTAGGCATTGTGAAAAGGTCTGCATATTCATTTTCTCTAAGGTTGTTGAATTTGCTTTTGACACCCACATACATCTTGGTGTATCTTATGTTCTTTTCATCTTTGTTGGCAGTAATGAGCTCCTGAAGCCAAAATTGTTTGTCTCTGGGTGGTCAACATGATTGGCTGCCAACCAAATGGGTAGAGGTTGGAATCCACCCTGGAACACCACTGGAGAAAGGCTGGTGATCTACTTCTGAAAACCAGCCATTGAAAACCCAGTGGAGCACATTTCTACTCTAGTACACCAGGAACCAGAATCAATTGGAAGGCAACAGACCTGTGTCTATCTATGCAAGAGAGGCAGGACGAACAATCCTGAGGATAAAAAATGAGACCGGTAGTTCCAGGGGAACATGGGTGAGGAGGGGGCAAGGAAGGGGAGTGGGGAGCCAGCAAACTCAGAGATAAGGGAACAACAAGAAATCTAAAATTGATAGCGAGGAGGGTGTATAATGCCTGGTGGGGCTTGATCAAGTGCAATGTATCTGAGAGGAAACACTGAGGGACAAATGGAGGGTGAGCATGACAGTGAGATAGAAGGAAGGTGAAAGGAAATAGAGGAAAGAAGTAGGAGGCAAAAGCTATTTATAGAGGTATAGCTATAGGCATGTATATATGTAAATACATTTATAACAGGGGTCCTCCAACTTTTTAAACAGGAGGCCAGTTCACTGTCCCTCAGACCATTGGAGGGTCGGACTATAGTTTAAAAAACAAACAAACCAAAACTATGAACAAATTCCTATGCACACTGTACATAGCTTATTTTGAAGTGAAAAAACAAAATGGGGCAAAAACACCCGGCAGGCTGGATAAATGTCCTCTGTGGGCTGCATGTGGCCCACAGGCCATAGTTTGAGGACCCCTGATTTATAATGAAAGGGATAGAGACCAATGTACATATATCTATATTTTAAGTACAATGATAGCAGAAGGACTTTGGGCCTCTACTCAAGGTCTCCCTTAACACAAGAACACTTTGTTCTGATAACCTGGCACTCTTTGATACTCACCTTCCTGACACAATCGCCGAAGACATAATGGGTGCATAAGCAAATGTGGTGAGGAGAGCAGCTGGTACTTGGCTTTCAAAAGATATAAGGTCTGGGGTCTTAAAGGCTTGAAGGCAAACAAGCAGCAATGTAGCAGGGAAGCAAATATGCTCACATGGAAGAAACAAAGTAGTCTGTGTGATCATGAGGTATCCACGGGATCAGGTATCATGTATCAAAAGATCCAAAACAACTATATCTATGCGAACGAGGAGGGTGGGAGTGGAGACCCAAAGCCCATCTGCAGACAATTGGATACCAACACCCCCCGCCGCCAAAAAAGGGTTATAAGGAAGGGATGATTCAACGAAGGTGTAGTATAGTACCGATGAATCACACATCATTCCTCTAGTTCCTGAATACTTCCTTCCGCCGCCCCCCACTATCATGACCCAGTTCTACCTTAGAAGTTTGGCAAACTGGAGAACACACATTGGTGCAGATAAGAGCTCTGGGCACATGGAATTCAGGAAAGATAAACCCCTCAGGAACAGTAGTGGGCGCAGCACTATCATGAAGGTAGAGGGTTGGCCATGGAGGGGAAGGGTGAGAAACCTGGAATCCATCACAGGATTGGATATATTGTCCCCCTCCCCCCAAAGGGGATGAATAACAGAAATGTGGGCGAAGGGAGACAATGGACAGTGTAAGATATGAAAATAATAATAACAATATATAATTGATCAAGGATTCACAAGGGTGGGAGGGTGGGTGTGGGAGGGGAAAAAGAGGAGCTTATACCAAGGGCTCAAGTAGAAAATACTTTGGAAATGATGATGGAAATGTATGTACAAATATGCTGGGTACAATTGATGTATGGAATGTTATAAAAGCTGTTAGAGCCCCCAATAAAATGATTAAAAGAATAATTGAAGGCAATAGTATTTCTTTTCTACTATCGGGGTCACCAGGAATCAGAATCAATTAGAAGGCAATAGTATTTTTTTTTCTTTTTGCATTCTAAAACCGTGATCATCAACTGTGGAGTTGTCAACATAATTCATAGCTAAGGTAATAAATTATCATTAACAACAACAACAACAACAAACTCGTGGCTGTCAAGATGACTCTGCTTTGCAGGGACCCTACAGGACAGCATAGAACTGCCCAACTGGGTTTTGCAGGCTGTCATCTTTCTGGAGGTAGGTGGTCTGTTCTTTCTCCCAGGGAGTGACTGGTGGCCTTGAACCTCCACTTTGTTTCAAGGAAATGGCTCATGTAGTTAGGAAGGCTGGCAGGTCCCAAGTCAGGTCGCAGGCTGGAGACTTCTCCAGATTCACTATTTGCTAAAATCGAGGCCCATCTGTTGTTGTGAACTTTTGTATAAAAAGTAAATGATGTTTTTTAAGGTACAATAGTCTTGTATACATTTTTTTTGCTTGGATACTTATGATATTAACACTTTTACTTTGTTTATGCTATCTTTCAGTGTTTATCTGCTGAAGAAATCTTCTTCCTTCATGGCTTTTCAAACTCTACCCAGATCACCAGCTCGACCTTCCCTACCATCTGTCCAGCAGTCTTACAGCAACTGAGCCTTCACCCTTGTGAGGCGAGGCTGAAGCACCAAACAAAACCAGGTCTTTCAGAAGGTATGCTGGGTTACTTTTTCCCCTCCTAGTTGATTGAAAATTTTATTGCTCAGATTGAAGTGAAGTTAGCATGCCTCTTTTTCTGCTTTTAACTAGTTGATATAGATTAAGCAAACAAACAAACAAACAAACAAACTAATTGTCATCTAGTTGATTGAGACTCAGATTGACCTTGTAGGACAGGAGGGCAGTTTCTGAGACTCTAAGTCTTTACTATGGGAGTGGAGAGCTTCATGGTTTCAAATTGCTGACCAATGTGTAACCATGAAGTTACCAGAATTTCTGGTTACAAATATTTATATTCTGAAAGTATTTGGTATAAGAACGATCAGAAACCATTGGAGCTTTATAAATTATGCCCTTTCTCATTTGAAGAGTCAAAATTATATTTGGAACCCCTTAGAAACATAAATAAAATTTAATTCGTGATTTTAAATACTGTATACATGATGGTGTCCATATTGGATTGCACATTAAACATTTGGCCCATAATTGATCATTTAATCTATATTAACCTTTTCTTATCATATATTTAAAATTATTTATAATTATCAGTTAGTTGGTCAGGGAATGACATACTGGTAGATTAAATCTTAAAGCATTGAATTGCTTCAATTTTCATAATTTAAAGAAAATCCCTAAAATTATTAAGTGTAATTTTTAAGGTGTAATTTGCTGTTGTTAGGGGCCATCAATCTGATCCTGACCCATAGCAACCCACTACACAACAGAATGAAACACATGCTCATTTCCTTAGATTTTAATGCCTTTACAGTAAGTCATTAAAATATAAGAAAACAAGCCTGTGTTTGGTATAAAGTTCATATGTACATAAACCTGGAGAAGTCTACTTTTCACAATGAAATAAACCAGTTGTTGTTTAGGGGGTCTGTTTGCTAGTTATGCACGTTTGCATGCGTGTGTCCTGAAATGATCTTAACTCACATGGATATTTCATTTATCATGTTTTCATTGAATTACATGGCAAGCAATCTCCTATGCATTGTGTATTCATTAAGGAATAAGAAGAAATTCCTTCTGCTTTGAGGATTTACAGTGTAGCAGAGAAGAGAGACAATAAACGTTGTAACAAACAAGTAAATGCTAATAGAGCTCCAGAGTGCTAGAAGGAGGTGGGGCTTAGCATGGCTTTAGACAGGTCAAAGAGCGCCTCTCTGCTGACATAGCATTTGAGCAGCATTCTGATTGAGGAAGAGGAGAATGGCAGGAACATTCTCGGCCGAGGGAAAGCTACAAGATCCTGGCCTGGTGCAGGCGCAGGGCTCTCATGGTACCTGGTACACATGTTCCCCACTAGGCGAGCATGAGCAACTCCCTCTGAGTTAGAGCGACCCTGGGCATCACCTGGGAAGGTTCTCTCGGGTCACAGTGAATGTTTTCGTACAAGCAGTTTTGTTGGAACCTCATTTTTTTTTGTGATGGGCAAGTAGCTCGGTGAAATTTTGTTTCCTGCTTGGGGAAAATGCCTCAGAAACTGTTGTGACATTGAAGATAGCTTACAAAGACAGTGCTATGGGAAAACCTCAAGGGTACGAGCGTTTTTCTCATTTCAAAAAAAGGTGAAATATTGATTGCTGACAAACCTCATTCTGGATGTCTATTAACTGCCCGAACGGAAGAAAATGTTGGAGTTTGTTCCACGAGGCCAGACTGTTAATCCAGCTTTCTGCTTTAAAGGTTCTGAAAAGATTGCATAACAGTGTATGACCAAAAAGAAAAAAAAGGCCTGATTGGTGGCAGATGGGGGGGCTGCTTTTGCCACCACAGCAATGCACCTGCCCACGCAGCCATCTCAGTATGCCCGATTTTGGCAAAGAACAGCTTGCTTCTCTTGCCCCACACATCTTACTCATCTGATCTTTCTTGTGTGAATTCTTTTTGTTTCCAAGAATGAAGAGGGACATGAAAGGACAGCGATTTAATGACGTAGAATGGGCGAAGAAAAAAACACGAGGGAGGTTCTGTTAGCCATCCAAATCAATGAGTTTGAAAATGTTTCCAAGAATGGAATTGCACATTTGACAAATGTATTAAGTGTAATGGAGAGTAATTTGAAGGTGATAATGTTGTTCTGTAAAAGAAGAAAAAGAAAAAGTTTTATTCCATTTGGGGGGGGCGGTGCGGAGGAGCAAGCCCTCCTAAGCTTAGGAATGGGCTTGGTCTGGGTATGAAAAGCCAGCAGGCCTGTGTCTGGACAGAATGGGCGGGAGCGATGGTGCGGGGAGGTGATCTCTAGAGTGTGGGAAGGGTTAACTGGATTTTATTCTAAATGTGGTGTGAAGCTACTCTAGGTTTTGATTTGTGTAAGGGTTCTCTAGATATGCTTTGAAGAGTGGATTTTAATAGGGCATGGGTCAGGTGCAAAGACATTGGTCAAGAAGTTTTTGCCAAGGTTTAGGCTAGACATGTTAGTGAGTTAGATTGAGATGGGAGGGAGTGACCTGGGAGATGTGATCAGGCACAGGGTAGATTTTTGGAGGTAGTGCTGACATCGCCTCTAGATTGGATTGGAGGAAGGAGGGATACGTCAAGGTCTGAGCAAGAGAAAGCGGGTAGATGGTTTCTGAGATAGAGAAGACCGGAGAGGAGCGCTTTGCTGGTTAGGAAGGAGAAGGGGAAGACCAAGAGCATCATGCTGGATACAACCCAGTCAGTGGTTGACGTAGATACATAAGTGGGGTCCAGTGGGGGGTAGTACATGTACACATTTGGAGCGCAGATGAGAGATTGAGGCTGGATAGTTGTCATCCCAGAGATGGTATGGAAAAGTTCTGCACTGAGCAAGTTCATTGAATGGAATAATAGATAAAGTTTTGATGAGACTATAAATAAAGAAGCAAAGGGAGATGTCAGGAAAGGAAGGGGCCACTTTACACACTTTTAGATTCCTTTGTATATATGAATATACATATACATACATATATACGTATACATACAGGAAAATAATAACAATGATATTAGTCAGCACCAATTATGCATTTTTAATATACCAGACACTCTTCCAAATACTTTACATGTATGAGACTCTAAAAGTTTGTTGAAAAATGGAATTGCAAGATAATAAAAAAGGATTCTTCCATGAGCTTTCTGGAGCCCCCTTGTATTAACTTCATACAACTCAATGAGTTAAGAAACCAAGGCACATCGATGTTAAGGTCATTTGCTCCAAATTGCACAACTTGTAGATAGTAGAACCAAGCTCCAAAGGAGGCACTCTCAATTTCAGATTGCGTGTTCTCCTGTATATTCCTTATTCATATGTGCAGAGAAGGAAAATCACCAAGGACAAATATGATAAATATAAGTATCAAGTTTGGTGAATGGAATTACTTTCCAGGCTAGTGGTTTAAGAAAATATTTTTCCAGTGTGTGTATTAAATGAGAATATGTTGAGATTTCTACAACTCTATTTAATTATGATACCTTTTATATTAAAACCTCAACTTAGCAACTGGTGACACATATTAACGTTTGCTAATAACCAAAGACAGTGAAAACATAGATTCTGACATCAACTACCTGTGTCCAAACACAGCTCGTCATTTCCTAGCCATGTGGGGCATGCGACTTGACCTCTTCCTGTCTGGGATGTCTCACACAGCATGGCTGGAACAGTAGTTCCTTTCTCACGGGTGGACACGTCAGGTTGCTCATAAGGCTGACATATTAATTGTAACAATGGCCTCAAACATACCCAGACAGTACCGGGCAGTGAATCTTTCGGTCAATTATAAACAAGATTGCAATGAGTGGAAGTCGACTCACAGCAACTAACAACAACAAATAAAAGTTTCTTAATATGATTAGATGACTGGGTTCTCGTAGTGCACCTAAGGCATTTTGTCACTCAGAGTCTTTTAAATAAATACAATATATCTAACATGTACATAATTCTGAGTTCAGGAAGTGGGGCTTAAGAAAAAGCAGCTGGACTCTGTACTGGTTAATTATTGATGCTCAAACTGGGTTTTATCCCTGTGTGCCCAATTTACTCAGGAACTAAATGCGACTTAAGAGGTGGAACTAGGTGGGATTTAGGCAGTGGAAACACAGAACTGATAAGCAGGAAATGATAGAGAGAATTCTAGGGTCAACACTGCAAAGTCCTAAAATGGGAATGTCAACAACTCTAAGTGTAATACCAGTAAGACGCCAGTATTTGGACAGAAGACCCGGCGGCATTCTTAGGTTGGTGTTGCCTCGTGTGGTGCCTCGTGTGTCTCTCCTCCTCCATGGGGCTGCCCCACAAACAGGCCACCGCAAATCCTCGGAAGTGTTCATTATTCATGCTGATTCCTAAATAAGAGGTGATAGAGGCAGTTGCAAATAGCTTAAATATAATATTTCTTACATTATATGAATGACAGCAAAGTCAGTTTGAAAACCTTTTCTACAGTGAATCACAATTTGTAGTGACTTTAAAATTTCTCTTTTTGTTTAATAACTTTTTATTATCAAAAAGATATCGACATAAGTTCACAAATACGAATTACTACAACACTGTAGGTAAAACACCAGAATATTTGACATCAGCAACTATAAAACATCAACAGACAAAAATTATAGCATCTGCCAGTCATGTTGTGCAAATGAAACCCCATGATTCCAAGCATCGTTGTAATTGGGTCATAATGACAGCTCTGACCAAAGTACATTAGAAGGCGCACAAAGCAAATTAGCATGGCGTGCATGCCTTACAGGTGTATTTAAATGTAAGCTGAGCTTATGAAAAATATTTTGTCATTATCATTCATACAGGGATATTTTTATAAAACTGACACATTTCTTTTAAAACACTTCACAAAACTTTTGTGAATTCCTCTGTATACCATACCTCACTGCCTCTAACAGTGACTTCTAGTGTTCTCTCCACCCAGTGGCATCACCAAGGGGGCCTGATAAAGGCAGAAGTGGCTCTTAGAAGCGATCCAAGACTTATTTACTGTCCCTGTGTTTCAGATACCTCCGTGTAAAATATGGATGTTAATACTACCTTCCTTATAGAACGAGTGAGATGATCAAATAGCTAGTATATTGAAGTGCCTAAAACAGTGCCTGGCATAGAGCAGGCAAAACACACTTTTTTTTGTGTGTGTGTGTGTTCTTATGATAAATGTGTTAATAATATTATTTCATGTCTCAACCCACATAAACCTATTTTTCTCCATATGAATATGATTTTTTGAAATAATTAAATGCACTGGATATTTTGGTATAAGTACTGATTTAATACTCAATTTTGAGTCCATTCATGGCAACTGAAAATCAAAATCAAAACCATCTGAAAGAATCATGGTACACAGGTTTTAGGAATACCTTGATGTTTCAGTGGAAAGATAGAGCAGTCTTATGTCACAGGCACCTTAGATTCTATGATTATGGAGTTACCTTTCAGATGTGTGTAACTCACATTGATGTCGGCAAAAAATTGATAATAAATTAAGTTCTCAAGGTTGCCTAGCCTTTTCTTAATAAGAAGACACAAAATAGTATTTAATTAAAAATATGTATAATAATAATATAATTTGATACTTATTCTGAGATATTTTCCAATTCCCCAATACAGCTAATGATATAAATAAATGCAAGCTTCCGAGAGATAAAGACTGCTTATAGGCAAGATACTGGATGTGGGAATAAAGCCCAGGTATCCTGACTGCTGGTCAGTGGTTCTTTACACTGTATAACAACTAAATGAACTATATTCATATCATGGTGCACTTACTATTAAAAAACTCCAAAAAAACTAACATTAAAGAAAAAAACCATTTTATTGGGACATAATCCAGATACCATACCATTCGATAGTTCAGTCATATCAAGAAATGTACAATTGCTATTCACTATATATTGCTCTTTAAAAATAGTTTAATTCTTTCTACTCATTTGTTATTTAAAAAAAATGCTGTGAAAATATCATCCAAACCAAATTCTCTACCACTGAGTCAGTGCTGATTCATCGTGCCCCTACAGAACAGGACAGGATTGTACATCGAAACAGGAGTAGAAAGTCTCCTCTTGCTCCTGCAAAGGGGCAGGTGGGTTTGAACTATTGACTTTGTGGCTCGCAGTCCAATGCCTAAGCCACGACTCCACCTGAACTCCTTATGAAAATATAGCTAGCATCATATTTGCATTTTCTTGCATCTAAAATTTAGCGATCATGTGGTGCTGTCATCACTGATGCCTTTTGCTAGTTTTCGTCTTCATGAACAAAACGCTTTGAACAAGAATTAAACAAGAAACCACATGTAGGTCCCCAATGGGGGACAATGAGGGGTTGAAAACCCTACTAGAAAGTTAGAGACTGGGTAGCATTGTTCCCGTGAAAAGGTCCTGATAAACACAGGGCAGGTGGACTGCAGGACGACTTTGTAGGGTAGGGTCAGGAGTTTGGAACTGATAGGAAGGTGTCAGGAGACGATAAAGACTCGGTCAGTGGTGAGATCACTGTGGGGTTTCATCGTAACAGTTGTCTGTGCTTTTCATTGGGCACTTAGCATATGCTACTCTGTGTTGGTGTATGGGTATCCCAGCAGCTCCTCAATCATAAACTCCTCGTCAGGAACTATAGATTAGTTCCATCCTGTGTTTTATGAGCACTTGCTATGTTTATTTGTAGGCAGACTCTCTCAGATAAGAATAATGGCGAGCAACTTGGTATTCATGAAGTACAATTCGGGCTAAAGTGTTCCCAGTTTTGCTGAGTCCCTTGGGCTTGTGTTTGCAGTAAGATCACCTGCACGGAAGTCATAATGCATGTTGCTGAAAAGCAAGGGCACTGGAGCCAGAAATCCCGGATTCAAAGTCCAGCTGTCTATGCGATCCCATTTGAACTCCAGAGGCTCTGATTTCCTCAAGTGTAGGAAGGAGGGAAAAAAATAATTCCTACTTCTTAAAGTTTTTTTGTGTGGATCAAATGCATTAATACCCATGAATTATGTACCCAAATCCCTGGCAAACACTCACTGTGTGTTAGATATCGCTGGATAGTCCATGATTAGGTGGTATTGTTAAGTGACTTTAATTTTGAAAACATTTCCAGGGCATTTTAAAGCAGTGGGAATGCAGAGTCAGATTTCTGATCTTTCATATTGTACTTTGTGCCCAGTGTGCAGGGCCATAGGCAAAACCACAGAGTTATTGCACAATCCCAGAGGCCACATTGGACCTCAGCCTGCACTGTTCTATAGGCAGATGTCCAAGAGTCAAACAGTCGGTGCCATTTGCATGCCCATCGCATCCTTACAGCAACCCCTCTATGAGAACGAGGGAGTACCCGAGGGGTGCAAATAATGAATGTACTTGTCTGTTAACCAGAGGACTTGAAGCTCAAGATTATCTCTCATTTCCACAGAAGAAAGACCTGCCAACCGACTTCTGAAAAATCAGCCGTTGAAAATCCGTTGAAGCACATTCTACTTTAACACACCTGGTGTCGACATTAGTTGGTATCCACCTGATGGCAGCGAGTGAACGCAGGCATTCATGATCATGAGGGGCAAACTGAGCTCCAAGGCCACCGGCCCTACATAGCACTTGCTGTCAACCTTAGGATAGCAACCTTTATTGACTAGCTATTGAGTGCCAGGTTCAGGGAATAGAGAGGTAAAAGGGTTCCTCTGTCACCAGGGCGCCCTCTCCCTTAGCTTGGGCCTGACAGTTTGAGCTGCTGCTTCCTCCCCCCACATACTCACTTCTGGCGTGTTCAGTGCCTGGGGCTGAGGTCTCAACTCCGGACTAAGCAGCTGCCCCCCCCCCCTCCAGGAAGTGCTGTACGCTGGTGCCTGCAGAGAAGTAATTATGACAAGCTTAGTGTAAGCAGCTCTGGTCCACTTAAAGATGACTCATCCTTCCCCATCTTTACCTGCACCTTCCAAACATCATGCCAGATGGTAGGAAGTGGCACTGTCTCTATATTCCTCTGTAGACAGAGCTTTAAACCAGTCCTTGAGCTCAGATGACTAGGTAGGTGAATACAGTTTGGAACCTGTGGCCAAAGATTGCTTGTCAAGAGTCTAGATTTTTCTCCAAGGTCTCTTTTAGTTATCATGTTCTTTGATTCCACAGTGATGATTAAGATTGATTAAAGCACAGGCATTTTTTGCGATGCTTTTATTATGCAATATTCATAGTCCTCCTTTACTTTATGATTTTCATATAGAAGACTGTTGTTTTGAGGAAGACTTGTGTCAAGTTTAATGAACAATAAGGATTAATTTGCCTCATTTGTGCTGACTGAGGTCTATTCTATTTTTCTTCCCGGCACAGTTTGGGGCTATGGATTCCTGTCAGTGACAATTATTAATCTGGCATCTCTCCTCGGATTGGTTTTGACGCCATTTATAAAGAAACCTTATTTCCCTAAAGTTTTGACCTATTTTGTGGGACTGGCTATTGGGACCTTGTTTTCAAATGCGATTTTTCAACTTATTCCAGAGGTAAGGATGTTAGTTTGTGTGAATAATAATAATAATAATAATAACTTTTTTTCTGTCTAAACGTTTGAGTACATTTCCAGCCTCCATAATTGTCATAGCATTTTATGATCTGGTTTATAGTGTTTTGAGTAAGAGAATGCTGAATCAGCGCACACATAAAAGCTTGTCCCAAGCTGCTGTCGAAGCCAGCGGTAGAGACAAAACTAACATTCTAGCAGGCCAGCCGCAGTACGTGCTCAGACCACACTGGGCCACCACCGAGAGCCTTAAAACTTTATTCTGCTTTGCATTTGGCACATTTAATTTGTCCACACACGGTTCTTTACTCTTTATTTATTTCCTGAAGACAATGCAACGTCAATTTTGCTGATACTACACCACAAGAATCGCCTCTTGAATGGATGGCAGCTCTGAAAGGCTGGAGAATCGATTGAAGAATGATTGAGACACCTCTTCTTGTCCTTTCTTGCCTTTATTGGGGGTGGGTGGCGAATAATCAATTCAGGTCCAAAAAATAAACAGTAACTCGGTTTTATGTTTGCTTTGATAAAAACACATTAATGATCTGACATTGACTGCAGTCCACTGTTCAACTAATTAGCAAATCACATGTGCGTTTTATTCAAAATCTGTGCTGTGGCCTTCTCAGGGAGGAACGGAACCAGGAAGGCAAGTGGGTGAGATGCAGAGAAAGGGAAAGACGCTGCTGAGGAGAAGGGACATTGAGAGGAGGGAGCCTCTGAGGGGGACGATACCTGGTCATACTGGTGGAGACAATCTGTTCAGCCACGAACCTTATCTCCCTGCTCCCACATGCACCCACACATGGAGACACTTCCCCATGAACCAGGAGAAAATAGAATGTCAAAATGGGAGCCAACCTCATCTCACAGGTTTTAGAAAATTACAAATGCAATGTCGTTCAGTCTTCCTAGCTGGCTACTAGAGTGGCAGGGCCACTGCTTAGGTCATGCAGAAAGGACCAAGAAGAGCATTTACATCAAGAAGAGAAATTCAAGTCATGGGGGTTAGGTGACTTGTTTATAATCATGTCATTATCCAGTAATAAAGATAGGGGCTATCACACATATTTTCTGATATAAAACATGTAGTCTGTACAATGTACTTATGCATCTACTGCATTTAATATAATTCATGTATCCAATCACATATGTGTAAGTGTGTCTATCTCACATGGGATGTGTGGGCCACTTAAACTGATGCCATTCGTAGGCTGGAAAGCCTACCGTTATTATTTTGAGGCTGATTTTGTTGCAAATGTCTATCAGGAAAATGAGAACCCCGTTCAAAAGCATTTGTGGATGTGCTTTTGCCTTTCTATGATAATTAAGGAATCATAGATGTGATCAGAGAATTACATAAATACCAACAAATCCACGCTCTACAATAGTTCTCACATTTCCATGCAGAATTCCTTCTCTTCTTTTGGCAAAAGTTGTTCCTTTGTCTTGTTTCACTTTATTTCATAAATTATGTTTAATAGAAGAAGGTTTCAAAAAATTCATGGAAAAACTAAATGAAAAGATAATGAGAGTTTTCCACCAATGTTTTGAAGCTTTCTGATATATGTAGTAGATATTTTTATGCCATTTTGCACTGCACTGGTATCTGGCCACAGGAACCTAGATTGCTGCCTTAAGGGGAGCCTTAGAATGTGTGGGACAGTGGATAGCAGTGGCTAGTCACATATTTCTCTCTCCTCTACTCAGTTATATTAGGTCTAGTCTCCTTGTCCATGAGGGACATCTTGTCTCTTTATAACCTCAAACTCCATCTCTAGCCCATTTGCCCGTATAAAAATGGATGAGTTCCTTTGTATAGTGTGTGTGTGTGTGTGTGTGTGTGAGATATCAATCCAGTCTCTCTTTTTCATTCTTGAGTGCCATCCTTTATCGCTTTAGGACTTACCAGGATCAACTAGATATAAGAGGACCTGTCTTGGGAAAACAGTAATCCAAATGGCTTGTCATATTTATGTAAAAATACCGATCCTGGAAATGATAGGCCAATACATTATTTTTAGAGAAAGTGAGTCCTTTACATCTTATTTATCTTCATTGCCTAGATCGAATCCCATCTTCTGAAGATGGGAATCAGTGCTGTTTCTTTGCTGTTGCAAGTCTGGTTTTTAATGCGACATTCCTCTAGGTGTCATCCCTAGGGAACTAGAAGACCCTTTCCTTGCATTTTCATTGTGAATTAGGTGAAGGTGTACAGAACAGATCAACAATTTTACAGTCTTTCATACACATTTTGCTTCAAGTCATCATTGCAGTGCCCTCACTATAGCGACCACCACGTATTCTACTTCTGTCCTGTGTTACCCTGTTTCATCCTCCTCCTTTCCTAACCCTGTGCACTTGGCAGGAAGTCCTTTTGTGGCTTAGTTTCATGAGACGTTCTCTGTTTGTAGGGCTCCCGGCTCTTCCTTCCAATCTTCACATTTCAGAGTTGTTGCTTTGTGGTTCTGGCAAGGAAACGTAATATACTAGGATGTGAGGATGGCTGAGGGCTTTGGTAAAAGTGTTCACCGAGAACATACGGTATTGCTTTCCAGTGATCGAATGAAGTTTTTGACTGGTTTTACTGGAATTCCCATTGTTTCTTTCCGTAGGCATTTGGATTCAATCCCAAAGTTGACAACTATGTTGAAAAAGCAGCTGCTGTGTTTGGTGGGTTTTACATATTTTTCTTTGTTGAGAGAATGCTGAAGATGTTACTGAAGACATATGGTCAAGTAAGTAGACTTCACGTTTGAAATTGTACAAACAAGAGTGACTTTGTGTAGGTACCTAGAGGGCCAGATTTTAGTCTAGACTATGTGAACGGTACAGTTATTTGATTTGTGAGTTGGAGGAGGAAGAAATGACTCAATAGATGAGCGGGCATCAAAAACTGTGTGGACCAATGGAATGTAAAACCTATGTAAGCTTTGGAAACCTTCCTAACTCATAACAAAAGTTTTTTTTTGAGAAGGAAAAAAAATATTCCACTTTAAAAAAAAGAGTGAGATTTTCCCATGAACTTTTGGAATCCTCCTTGAGCTGACAAATATAAGAAAATTATTTGACTACAGTATAGATCTTGACAAGTATTTAATGTCAAATGAAAGATATGCATAATCTTTATTCTTTCCTATATTTAGCCTAATAAGAAAGAGGAATCAACAGAGACTAAGTGATAATATGCTCAAAAGAAGAGAAATTTCATAAATATAAAAAGGTGGCATATATAGAATAAGCATAGCACTTTCCTCACAAATAAAAAGGAGTAAATTCTACTATATTATCTCTGCCAATCATCTGTTATTTTTTCTTTCTATAACCCTTGCTTTCTTTTCCTCCCATGTAGAATGATCATACTCACTTCGCAAATGATGACTTTGGTCCTGCTCAAGAAAAAAATCATCAACCCAAAGCATTACCTGCCATCAATGGTGTGACATGCTATGCAAACCCTGCTGTCACAGAGCCTAATGGACACATCCATTTTGATAATGTCAATGTAGTATCGCTACAGGTATGTTGATTTCATTTTTGCTTAACTGTACTACATGTTCTGTACTGTGGAAAGCCCACTGCCATTGAGTACACTTCTGACTTGTAACGACTATAGGAAAGAGTAGAACTGCTCCTTTGGATTTTCAGAAATTGCAAATCTTTATGGGAGGAGACAGCTCCTTCTTTCTCCCATGGAGTGTCCGGTGGGTTTGAAGTGCTCACCTTTTGGTTAATAGCCAAACACTCAAACCATTACCACACCAGGCTTTCTATACCATATAAAATGCTGCAAATGCAGTCAAAGCAATATTATATATATAGTATATATATGATTTATTATTGGATATTTGGGGTACCCCGTATATACTTGTGTATAAGCTGAGTTTTTCAGTACATTTTTAATTCAGTTTTGATGGTAAAATCAGGTGCCTTGGCTGATATTCAGGTTGGATTATACTAGAGTATATACGATAAATGGCATAAAATGGGCATAATTCTCTTCTTTCCCCCTGGCATGTATACTTTAAACAAGTGAAATAAGCAAGAAATTGTGTCTCTCTGGGCCTGGAGCTTCACTACTTTCTCAGAATGCTTAACTATGGAAGAATATCTCAAAATTATGCAATGCTTTGTAGCAGAATTCACTCATAGCGTTTCTCATCTGTGGCAATTCTTTCGACATTCAAAGCCAAAGAATCCCTTTAGGTGATTTTGAAACTTCAAGAAGAAAGGAGATTTTCAAGCCACCTAAACTGTGCCCATTAACAGATTTAGAATTTATATTCCCATCTTCAAAATTATTTTAATAGATGCATTTCTTTCCCACAGCAAATGCAATCTATCACTTAATATGCTTGGAGGAGACCTGGTGACTCACTAGTTCAAACACTTGGGTGCTAACCAAAAGTTTGGTGATTTCCAACTATCAGCTGCCATTCCACAGAACGTATTTGTCCCAGTCTGCTTCCATAAAGATCACAGCCTTGGAAATCTTATTCGATCTTCTAGGGTCCTTATGAATCGGAGTCAAGTTGAGGGTAATGGGTTTGATTTTTTTGAGTTTAATATGCTAGTCATTTAATTATTTTACTTCATATTTTAATGACAGCTTAAAGTAGGAATTATTTTCTCCATAGTAGACCTAGTTTGGTGCTGTGGTAGAAATCAAACTCAAATTATTTATCAAACATAGACTTATTAGAAGGATCCTGAGTGTCTGATGGAAACAGCAGACTGAAATAGCAAGAGCCACACAATCAACACTGCTATTGAGACCGGGTCTCCTCTTGTCTCAAGAACTTACCTTCCTTCTTTCTCTCACTGTGGACCACTCCCTCCATCAGCAGAAACAGGACTAATAGCAACTCCTGAGATTTAGGTTGTACGTGTTCTCTCCCTGGAAAAACAGGAACAGACCCACTCAGTACTAACCCAGAAATTCCTTCGAAAGACTTTTCCTGACCAAAGACGATTCATAAATGTTTAGAAGATTGGGTCCCTTTTATGACTCTCAGAAGAGTCTCCTTCCCACTGCCGTAGAGTTGATGCTGACTCCTAGCGGCCCCCCAGGACTGGGTAGAATGGTTGCTTTGGGGGTTCTGAGGTTGCGCATCTTTGCCTGAGCAGAGAGCCCCATCCTCCATCTGCGGTTCACAGACAAACACGTGGCCCCCAAAGCATCAGGCGCCTTACACATGGAGCAGAGGTGTGGTTACTTAAAAAGTGATACTGGGATGAGAGTGTCTTTGGTGTCTACAACAAGGCCCATTTAACAGATGGAAAAAAAAAAGAAACTTTAAATTTCAAATTGCTTCTCCAAGGCCACTGGCCGCTGCTTTTGTAAATGAAAGAACTATATGTTATTGAAGTAAACAATACAAAAGAGAAAAAAAAACCATGTAAACTCAAAAGGAAAGCTAGCTTTTAGGGAAAAAAGCTGAAAAGAAGTTATTACAATTAATGATTGTGACTTGGGTTTCTTTCTGTAAAGAAAATTTAAGTGGTCATATAATTCTTCACAATTGATTAAGGAATTACTTTTTTTATAAAATCCTAAATGATACTTTCAGTCAATAGTGTGAAAAAATGTAGAAATGTTCAAATGAATAATTTTAGCTATGGTTTTTAAAAATAATCATCATGTATTAAAGACTTGAGATGAATTGCTTCTTTTGATCGACATAATTCATGAGGGAGAACTACAGTTATAATTAGGAGGTTGTGGGTTGGAGAGTTTAAATTGTCAACCCAAGGACACATCATTTCTAAGTAGTGACGCTTAGCTTTATACCAAAGTCATCTGATGTGTGTAGCCCGTGCCCTTAGATACTTTGCTGTACTATTTTCTACATGTTACTGTTCTATTAGAAACAAATCATGGCATTCATTAACATGGTAAATATTTATTTGGTTAATGTTGAAGAAAACTTGGTCAAAGGACATTGTTTTCCGATGCTATAACTTAATGCAACAGCATAGTGAGATGCAAATAAAAAATTGTCCTTGAATTGTATAACAAGATTCTCATCTCCTTATGCACAATTTTATAAAATAATAGATAATGGAAAAATTATGGTTAAATTTGCTGACTAGTGACTCAAGGAGTGCTAATCAATTGTGTTGCCGATTTAAACATTAATGAATAACTCTTCAGATTCTAGATTTGCTATGGCGAGAAGACATGTTTGCAGTCTAGCTAAGCATCATGACAAAAGATGAATGCGTGTCAACCTAGAATCCATTCTTACTCCACTTCTAGCAGTAGTGCTAGAGTCTAGGCTTTTATTATTGCATTCAATAAATATTTATTGTTGTTGTTAGGTGTCATCAAGCAAGTGCATGCACAACTGAACAAAACACTGCCCCGCCCCGCGCCATCCTCACCATTGGTGGCAGTCACAATGTCATCCATCACATGGACGGTCTTCCTCTCTTTCACCGACCCTCTGTTTTACCAAGCACAATTTCCCTCTTCAGCGACTGGTCTTTCCAGATAAGGTGTCCAATGCAAATATTTTTTGAGTACCTGCTCTATGCTGACTTTGTCCTTGGCACTGAGAACTCAGAAGCAAACACTATGGATCTTTGGTATATCCAGCAGATACAGACAATAGAAAACGTGAGACACGAAACTACCAGGTAGCAATAACTAATTCCATGAACATAAAACAAGGTGAGGATGACATGCAGAGGTTTTGTTTTGCGTTTTGTTTTTCGGCTGGTGATTCAGCAAAGGTTTCTCAAAGGGCCAGCAGAGACTTGAGTGGTGAGAAAAGATCAGTCATGTAAACTCACTGCCACCTAGTGGATTCAGACTCATAGCAACCCTGAAGGACTGAGCAGATAGGCCCTGGCGTGTTTCTGAACCTGGGAACCTTTATGGGGGTAGGAAGCCTCATCTTTCTCTCGTGGAGTAGCTAGTGGGTTTGAACTGCTGTGCCTAATGGTTTGTACCCAATTCCTAACCTCCTACGCCACCCGGGTGCCTTCCTCCAGTTATTGCCACTAGGTAAGGCTTTATACCGCACCCTGTGCCTTGTTCTTTTCTCCCTGTTATTTGTGAAGCTGGGAGGTCTCTATCCGTTGCCCTTTGCGCCTTGCCCCCAAGCCCACACCTTTAGAAAGATGGTCTTGAATCCTCAAACATAAAGTTCTCTCTCTCCCCTCTCCCCTCTCTCCTCTCTCTTTTCCCCTCTCCCTCTCTCTCCTCTGTTTGGGACATCTGTTACTTCTTTATGACCACTAGAGGGACCATCTGGCTCATTTTTTTCCCCCAGCGGTGAAAGACCTGTCTCTTGTTTTCTAAATGAAATCCCCGTGTTTGCATTTAAGAATTCCATTTAGAAACATAATCTAATAAAAATAAAGTGACATGCTTATTTTCCTAGTAAGAGAGGTTGACTTGGGAATTTTACTCTTTAATATTGAGGTATAGCGAAGTGGAATTAAGTTGCATAATTTGGGGAGAATTACTTGGTTAGTGACAGATATGAAGTGATAAATCCACAATATAAAGATAACATGTTTGAAGAGCTTGGGTCCCTATGATAATCGAACAGATTTTAAATATACTTCATTTATTCAGTAAGTTGTCATACAGTAGTTAATTTTACATTTGACAGTGTTCTCGGCTTTGGGGCCGAAAAAGACATTTCTGCTTTTCCAAAACATAAACGAAATATGCCATGTTTTTCAGAGAAATTGGAAAGTAATTATTATTTTTTACAAAAATGAAATAAAAAAAACTTGTTGGGAAGCCTTTTGTGGGGTTAATTCTCTCTACCCCCACTACTCCCATGTGGTTGGGGTCTTTGATACCTTCCTGTATGCGAGAAGGGAGGAGCAGATTTCTATTTTGTCGAGTGAGATGGTAGGTGAAGCGACAGGAGAACTACTTGGCCCGCTTCTCTACGGTACAGTGACTCTCAATAGTGGGTCGCTGAGGTTTGATCCTCCCAAGAGAAAATAAATACCCAGTCATCATCAGCAAGGGTGGCTGCCTTGTTGCACTGGCTTGGGACTGGGGATCTGGAGTTTGACTTTTTCTCTAAAGAGTTGCAATGGTTTTCTTTCATTTTTTTAAAACGTAGGCCTACTATTTGTGGGGTTATTTGACACCTGCAGTTCTTGAGCACGTTTGCAATGTGCTCGTCTTCCCCATCCCCTTCCGTTCCCTTTCATTTTTCTAGAGCCGCTCCTTTTCCCGTGTCTGTCTGCAGGCGCAGGTCTTTTATACTGTCTTTCTCTTGATTTCACCCCTTGTCAATTTAGGCGGGTCTCATTTCTCTCTATCTCCTAAAAGAAATACCCCTTTGCGGCCACTTCGCTCTTAGTGCATTTCGTACTTGTGGTGTTCTGTAGCTTTCTTTTGGGCCTGTGGCCTTATAGCTTTTTTTAATTCCTTTATTTTAGGGAATTTCAGTGGGGAGTAGCAATAAATACGTGTCTCCACTTTGCTATATTTCACCATAAGATTATTTGACATTTTAAATCCTCTCATTTATGAACATCAAAATACTT